CCCCACCCCGCCCGACGCCTCAAAACTTCTCCCAAAGGTGACTTTCTCTGACGTAACTCTGTCTAGTCCTTCCAAAGCAGACGCTCTTCCAGGCACCTCCCTGGGGAGTGTGATCAGAGGCCGATTCCTGCCCCTGTGCCTTGCGCGTCCACCCGCCCCTGACCCCTGTCTCTCCCCGGGATGAAGCGGTCCGCGTTAGGGTCCAGGTCTGTCCCCCCATGTGTGTGTGTGTGTGTGTGTGTGTGTGTGTTGCTCAGATCGGGAAATCACAGGACTAATGCAACTACTGGGCTGAGAATGGTGATTCATGGGCCGCCACCACCGCCTTCTCTCTCTTCTCTTCTCTTCTCTTCTCTTCTCTTCTCTTCTCTTCTCTTCTCTTCTCTTCTCTTCTCTCTCTCTCTCTCTCCTGCTCTTGAGATTCCTGCGGGTTGACAGTTCTGTGAAGGAGGAGTCTGAGGATCCATCTGCCAATTCTCCTCGTTTATACTACTCCCCACGCACCCCAACTCCAGATCCGTGTGGCAGTTGCACAGCCGCTATCACCGCGAGTTCTGAAGATCCATGGGGTCTTTGCCTTACGCATTAGTTTTGTCTTCACAAAAAAAGGACACTAGACAGGATAGTGCTGTCCTTAAAAATACAAGATCATAAAAAAAATACAAGAGCACGGTGGAAGTAGACTGATATGGACAATAATCAATAATAATGTGCCTCATGATATAAAGATCCAAAAGGAAATGAAATGAAAATCACGGGCATCTCATGCCTAGAGGGAAACACCAGAATCAAATGTTCCCAGTGACTGAAGACAGCCCCTCATCCATGGAGGCGAAGCACATACAATAAAATAGCTGGATTATTTTTAAAAATTTATTTTCCTTGGACTCCTCACAACCTTTCTCCTACATCTTTGAACAATTTGATGGGATCTAATTTATTTGCAGCTCTTTATATATCCTGGATGCTGACTCTTTGTTATGAGGGGATTAAACAGCTTTGAGAAGTAGAGATGTTTCCACCATAACTGGTTAGTCTCAGTGGATAGAGCATCAGCCTGTAGACTGAAGGGTCCTGGGTTCAATTCTGGCCAAGGGCATGTACCTTGGTTGTGGGCTCAATCCCCAGTGGGAGGCAGCTGGTCCATTTTTCCTTCTCATCAATGTGTCTAACTATCTCCCTTCCTCTCTGTAAAAATCAATAAAATACATTTTTTTAAAAAATAGAGAAGTTTCAGCCACTGAAGGAGGTGAGTCTGCGGGGGCAGAATCACAGGGAAGTCACTGCAGGGGTGCAGTGTGCTGCTAATATCAGAAAAATCCTCATTCCTTAGGATCCATATGATTTTTTTATTCCATGATATCAGTAAAGTGGTAAATTCTGTTTCCATAGTAATTTATCAGAATCCCTGGTTTCATTTACTGCATGACGTGGACAAACAATAATCACCTAAAATACTGTGTGTTATAAAACAAAATACCCTAGGAATTGTATTTTTATAGTATTACTTTTTAGAGAGATATAAATTTAAGTAGCATTACATAGTTTAAAACTTTCTAAAAGTAACCATCATAAATATCATTTTTCCCTTTAAAAGATGGTGAGGCCCTGGCTGCTTTGACACAGTGTTCAGAGCATCAGCCCAAAGGTTGGTCAAGGGCACATACCTCCCTTTACAGGTTCACCGGCCCCAGTAGGGCTACATGCAGGAGGCAATCAACTCATGTGTCTCTCTCATATCCATGTTTCTCTCTCTCTAGAAACCCCTTCATACCTCCCTTCCTCTCTCTCTAGAAATCAACAGAAAAAATATCCTCGGGTGAGGCTTGTTAAATTAATTAATCAAATAATAAATAAAATAAAAATAAAAGATGGTGAGGTTTGACCAGGACAGAGAAGGAAACCCTGAGGCCTTGCAGTCTCACAGGGCATCTTGTTCATTTGCTACAACAAGATCCTGAGGTAGAGATCTACCTCATCTTCCACAACCAAAGGAGAGACTGGAAATGTTCTCTCTGGTTAGATTTCTTCTTCAAGCAGCTGGAGAACTAAATGCAAGAATTATAACAATTGGCACCAAGAGAAAATGGAGCCAAATGTTGAAAAACGTGCAGAGGTGCCAAACATCTCATGGACTAAAGGACATGAGCATTGCATCTGCTGTATCCTCACGACCTTCTGCAAGTCTCTGCATTTGCTGGAAGGACTGCAGCTCCTGGAGGTCAACAGGTGAACAGCTGGAGGTGGAAGGACAGCCAACCAGCGGAGACACGTTTTGAATTAGACCACACTCCCAGCAGCATTTGAGCATCTTCTGCCAACTGAAAAGAAACAGGTGTTTGTTCCACAGGCTGAGAAAATCCTGGGTCAGTTCCCCTGGGGCTACCTACCCCAAACCCTTCCATCTCAGAGCCCCACCCTCATGAGAGTCATATATTCCCCATCAGTTCTCACCACCACCCTGGGGCCTTCAGCTTGTACCCATATCCTACCACCTTTACCACAAAGCAAGTCAGATCTAAAGACAGGTGGGGCTCAGGACTCAAGGAGCAAATGAACTGGTATGCTCCCTCTACTGAAGTTTTGAGTCCAAAAAAGCCCAGAGGAGCCTTGTCCAAAGAGAGAGGCCTGCATCCTGGTTCCTCTACCACTGGGGACAGTTGGGGTTGTGGCAAAGATCCTTCTTTGCCCTGCTCTCCTCATCCTGGTTAAAGGCTCACCACTCTGAGAGTGAGTGTCCCTGCCCTGCCCCATGGATTCCTGCTCCAGTCACCTGTCAGCATCCAAGTCCACCAGCAGCTCAGCCACACCTATCCCTGGAGTCACCTCTGCTCAAGGCAGGGGGCCCTCAGTGGCACAGGATTTGAACTGTAGAGGACACTGGCTGCCAGGAGATTGAATCAGGGCTCAGCCACGATTCCCAGGGAGTTCCAGAAAAAAATGGCTTCCATCTAACTTGTCCTGCACAGTCCGTACTGTTTGCCGTCTCTCTTACCTGATGTCTCCAAGTCACTTTCTGGGAAGGCAGATGTGAACTCCACCATCTTGAATTGGTTCTGCAAGACCTCTCTTCCTGGTATCAGACCCAGGGCCCTCTCCTCTTAGCCCCCTGTGTACTCCCCTTCCCCTGGACATATCACATGGAGCCACCATGCTGCTCTCACCGGAATGGGAGTACCTTCCCTGTCCTGTGTGCCTGCTGTTCCCACACCACACACACTGGCCCCAAATAAACTCTCCCAAAAAGAGAATCTGAGTGAGGACTGAAATCACTAATCCCCTTTACCATCTACGGCTGTTAAGCCTTGGTATGGGACCCTCCTTTTCCCACTGCTTTGACAGAAGATACCAGAACTCAGGGCTGAGCTCGTCCAAGTTATTGCTATCAAGCCATATTACATGTTAGCTCCCTAGTCTAATTTTCACAAAGAGAAAGTTTAGTGAGGGGGCAGGGAAAGGCTGGGAATTCACCTTTCCCTGTCCTCATTCCAGGCCATCTGCCCTTCATTTCCCACTCAATTCTGCCCTCTTTACCTTTTTCTGTAACGGTACCCGATGATGCAAACGATAATCAGGACGGTGACAATTACAGATACGATGACAATGATGGCCCAGGTCTCCAACCGGTCTGTGGTCTTGGTTGGTGAAGCTGTGGCTATGGTAGGTGTGGTTGTGGCTGCAGCGGGAACTGTGATTGGTGCAGCTGCAATGAAAACACAAGAGTGACAGCCTATGCAGTACTCAATTCTGAGGAGACACCTCCTCAGCTCCTGATGTCCCAGGTAATCCTATGTTGCAAACAGTTTCTACCCCTTTCAGTGAGGCAGCCACTGTGACAGATCCTGGGGTTGGAACAAAGAATGGAGATGGGCCCTGTCTCAAAGGGACTCATAGAGCTAATGGGGGAAGAAAGGGTTACAATCTACCCAGTCACTCCTGCTGTGACAGAAGAGGAAGGAGATGCAGATCTCCTCTAGAGGTGATTAGAGGTGGTACTGAAGGATTTCCAGAAATAGACCAGGTGAGATGAAGAAGAACAGTGATGCTACGAAGAGGAAACAGTACAAGGAAAAGGTCTGGAACAGAATGATGCCCTCATATTTGGGGTCAGCAAGAAATCTACGGTGAGTGGTCCAAGGTTATGGGCAGCAGAAAGAGACGGGAGGAAGGGAGAAACAAAAGGAGATCGCAGAACAAACTTATGACCGTTATTCTCCAAAAAACCCCACTGTGGATGCACCACTTTCTCAAACCCACACAACACACAGACACAGTGTCCATGTAATTTCCTCTCTGCACAGTTACCTTTTGTGTCCAGAACTTCACCCTGGGTTCCTGAAACTTGTTGAATCCAGTTCACACAGTCTCCAAGTGAGATCGTAACAAGGAGCTTTCTGTCACCATCCAGTGCCTTTCTTAATGGGCCGCTTTGGGGATGCTCCCATATCCAGCTTTCCGTCATGGCGTCAAAGAGGAGAAATTTCTGTCCATCCAATCGAAACTCCCAGAATGCACTCTTGTGTCCACTGGATTCCTGCTTACACATCATGATGACCTGTAGGGAGAGAGGACCTGTCCCTACACCCCATGGGAAAGAGGTCAGCTTCGAGTCTTCACAGGTCCTTTGTCCCTACCTGGTGTCCAGCCCTCTGCTCCCCTCCTATCTCCTGATCCTGCTCTGTCCTCTGTATCCTACACTAGTTGCTGGGACTCTTGGGTGGGATGAACTTCCCATATTTACATAAATACAATTGTTCCCTAACCCTACAACTCTGTTCTGCCTCTACCCAAGGTTTTCTAAACTTACCGATAGCTGTACTCATCCCTGGTTTAATGTCAAGCAGGATCTTTTTGAATTCTTCCACGATATATTTCAGAGTGTCTGTCTGTTCATTCCAGGCCTGTCTTTCATTCACCTTCATCTCCTGAATACTGATGAGTTCGAACTTCTCGCTACCACAGGTATCATTAAGAAATGTGTTTCCATTAAACTGGCCTTGAATTTTACACCATGGCTGTCCTTTAGGAGTGAGGTTGAATTCATAGCAAAGAGAAGGAGCATCTGTGAGAGAAAAATGCAGGTGAAGGTTGGTGTTGGAAGAAAAGTGCCCATAAGCACTTCTTCGCCATCTCTGTCTAAGGAGGAAAGGTCTAGCTGCCAGAGGTTTGTCAGAAACTACGCAGTGCCCTGCGGAGACACACAGAGCATGTAAGAGCTGCTCCTGAGGAAGCTGTGTGACAGTGCGGTGGGGAAATGTGGAATGACCTCACAGTTGGAGAAGGGACAGTTTACAAATGTGGGTCATGCCTTAGCACAGCTCTAGGAGATGGCGCTAACCTGCTGCTAGATCTTTTGCAAACTTGGGAGAAGGCATGGCTACAATGCGTGGAACAGAAAAGCCAGAACTTCTGAGGCACATAGGGGAGGAAGGCATCAGATGGCTCACAGAAGTGAATGTCAGGGGAAGATAATATGAAAAGGCAGAAAATTGTCCAATCAACCATGCTCCCTGGGAAAGCCTAAAGCTAAACTCTTGTTTATCAAGCTGATGAGGAAAGCATGGATGAGAAGAACACCAGAATTCAAAAAAGCTCACTGATGACTTTAGCTGAAGGTCAGGAATCTGGTAGGGTCCGTGTTCCCCAAAATGGATTCCAGTAGTAATGGAGATGGACAATGTCAACATAATAACTTATAGGTACAGGTGCGCTATGTCAAGACAAAGGAGATGATTAGGAAGCTCAGAAATCGAGCCAGAGCCTCAACCGCAGAGAGCTATGAATGTGGCTTATGGAACATGGTGATCCTACCTAGACGCAAAAGGATAAACAGCCAGCCTGGATACTTACTGCTGGATTTAAATAATTACAACAAAGACAGAACACAAGGATGGACAATCAGAAGGCTAAAAGCAACCTCCAAACAAAAGGTGAATCCTTTGTCCAGGTCCCAGAACTGAGCCACTTCTCAGAGCCAGAGCTCATCACTAGAAGGAGGGGCCAGGCTGCAATGAGAAGGGACCTCTCAACACCGCAGCAAGTGCACAAGGCCTTCAGGCCTTCCCCAAAGACCACAAGCCCTTGGCTCGGGGAAGTGTACTCTGGAAGCAGAAACTGTTCACACACTCGTATTTGATCGTGTGTATGAGTTGACACCATCCACGGGGATCTCAAGTGATGTGTGAGGCCAGGTAATAAACAGACTCCTGTCCCAGGTCCTGCTCACAGAGGTGTTATTGGTCCCTGGAGCCACATTGTGGTCATGTTCACATTCCCCAGATTTGTAACAGGAATAGAAAATCTTCGGAGTTATTGAATTACTTATGTGCTCAGGGTTACCATTGTAGGGAAATTTAAGTATAATATTCTCAAACTCTCTTTCCTTTTCTCTAAGTAGAATGTTAAAACAGTATTTTCTGCCAGCCAGTGTGGCTCAGGGGTTGAGTGTTGACGTATAGACCAGGAGATCACAGCTTGGTTCCTGGACTGGGCACATGCCCAGGGTGCGGTCTCAATCCCCAGTGGGGCAGCCAATCAATGATTCTCTCTCATTGATGCTCCTATGTCTCTCTCCCTCTGCTTTCCTCTTTGACATCAAAAATATATATTTAAAAACAAACAAACAAAACAGTATTTTATCCTGGATGAAGTGACAGAGATGAATGCTAACTTTAAACCTTAAAGGGTGAAGGGCATGAACTACATCCTGTAGCCATTTGGGAACAGTCTGGTTTGGAGACTTTCTGTAAATGGCTCGCTACTAACTAGTATAGATTGTGCAGACCACAGGTCTCTTTGCAACTACTTAACTCTCTGCTGTAGCATGAAAGAAGCCAGACAATACATGAATGAATGAGCGTGGCTGGACCTGCCACTAGGGCCCTATGAGTCACAGCATCTGGGACACTAGAGGTGTCAGTGCTGGGAAAAGTTGGTCTGTACTTCAAGGCATCCTAATTGGAGAAGTCATATCACAGACCCACAGGGTCAAAGAGAGGCCATGCCACTTGCAGCAGGGAAATCCACACCATTAAAGAGGGCCTGGTGGAGATGAGGCCTCTGGCAAAGGGGTATCACCAGTGCCCAGCATGAGGGTCACTTGGTAAGGAAGGCCAACTGCTCATGAGGTAGAAGTGATTTTCCTGGTACTGAAATGAACAGGGTCACAGGGAACAAATGAGATGCAGAAACAGGTGGCTCCAATCTTGATACCAAAATGTACCAGCACCACTCTCAGCTCACACCTATGGCTTCATGCAGTGTCTCTCATGGGCCTCTTCCACCACGGAATCCCTCCACAGAAAGGAGGGGAGCTGTGGCCCTCACCTGTGGGATCCACATCCTCTCATTCACTCCACCCAAAGCCACAGGCAGGACAGGGCAGGGTTCTGGCTCTTCAACACACTGCAGAGGCACCTGGGAGATGATTTCCTAGGGCCTTCGTTGGCAAACTGTGGCTCGTGGGCCACATGAGGCTCTTTGGCCCCTTGAGTGTGGCTCTTCCTAAGCCTTAGGAGTACCGTAATTAAGTTAATAACAATGTACCCACTTATATAGTTCAAGGTTTAAAAATTTGGCTCTCAAAAGAAATTTCAATTGTTGTTCTGTTGATATTTGGCTCTGTTGACTAACAGACCACTGTCCTATGGGACGTGCACCCATATCTGGGGTGAGGACACTAGGACAATGGCCACAGCTGATCCCTCATTAGTTTGCATGTTGTCCTTGGCTGCTCTTGTACCCCCAAACATGGAGGTGCCTAGTGCTTACACAGAAGGCATACACGAAGAGGTCTGTAAAGAAAAACACCCACTGTCTGCCCTTTAGAGAAAAAAACCTACAGATCTGCCCTAATGTATCACCTTTCTAGGCTGCTGCCTCCGCAGTAGGTGATAAATATGGGTTTGGAACCAAAGGGTAGAGGGAGCGGGTGCCCCTTCCTCACCAGCACCCCAGGGTCATACTTTGGAAAAATGCGCTGCTGTCCCTCCTGCTCCGGGTGCAGAAGCTATGGCTGGTGTGTCCTCAGGCAACAGGGATAAAGCGCCACTTGGCGGAGGAAGTGATCAGGCTCACATCACAGATAAAAAGGTATTGGAAGCACTGGTTTTGGGGACCCCAGAGAATTGGGCAATAAACCTGGGTGAGCTGGGGAGGAGAGCAGGGGCTCCCGAGGGAACAGGAGTGGGGGCTGGTGCAGTGGGGTGATGCGGGGCTGGGTGAACGTGCTGTGGGAAGGGGGGTTCCTGTCTGTGGGTCCGACTCTGAGAAGCGTCCGGGTCCCGGACAGGGGTCACAGTTCCCCAGAAGCAGGACCGGGGAGGGCGGGAGAGCGGCCTGGGGACCGCAGCGTCCCTACCTCTTTCGCTCCCGGCCAGCGGCCCCGCATCACCTTCTCTCCTGCCCCCTCTTCCTGTCCCTTCTGCCCGGGAGGCACGGGCGGGAGAGCGGACTGGGAACCGCAGCGCCCTTTCCATCTTTGCTCCCGGCCAGCGGCCCCGCATCACTTTCTCTCCTGCCGCCTCTTCCTGTCCCTTCTGCCCGGGAGGCAACCAGCTGCCCGGACGCCGAGGTGGGACTGAGACCGAGGAGGGGACGGAGGAGGAAGGTTCTGGACCGGCCATGGGCTCTGCCCGCGAGTTTAAAGCCTCTGCTGCCTCCCTCCCCCCTCCCCGCGCCCGCCGCTGAGACCCCATAGGAACTCACCTCCGCGCTCCCAGGCGCAGGGCGTCCCCCGCGCACAGTCCGGCAGCACCGCGAGCAGC